TACAACACTTGTTACATTTGACCACTTTCTAAATGGCATTGTGTGTTCATAGCTTTTGGCCTTAAACAGCACAAACTGATTGAGATGAAATACCACTGGAATGCGCTAAAGCATGAACAAGAACTTACATGTGTTCCTGAAGTATGCATGGTAACCAATCATATTGCAATGTGTACAGATAATAGTCACAGATACAACTTGGCACGAGGCGACTTCTACTGAGTGGCTTTGTCTAATACTTCAGGTATCCTAAAGTCCAGTGGAATTGCAGGCTTTCCAGGGAACATCCCCACAATGCTTTTGGGATGTCATCGTATATTGCGATATCGATGTATCACTAAGTTGTAATATCAATACCATATTGATACAAATTTAAGAATATCAATGCTGAATTAAAACCACAGAAGTGTTTACATTTATCAAGATTACCATGGTAAAGATGGACAATGAGAAGGCAGAAAATTCAATTTTATACATTTAATTGATCAGCTTAGTCCATATTTGGCATTAACTTGATTAATTGCAGGTTTACATGGGCAAATTGTATCCATACACATGTAGAATAGTTAATTTTATCATCAGTCGAGGTATAGGTTTTCTTGTGATACTTTTGAGTCGATATTTTGATAATAAAGTTCCCAACTAATGACATCCCTATATGGTATCACTGTTGTGGCAAGAATATTTTTCAGCTTAAGCTGCATCCTTGATGTTACTAGTAACACTACTCTGAAGCCCATATTAGGCATATTTCCTTTCTGAATAGCCTAAATAAGCTTGTCACAGCCAATATATGCTAAGCATGTTAAGGATGTGATGGAGTAGCCTTGTGGTCACAGCTTATGCTTGACATGCCAAATACCTGGGTTCAGTTCCCAAAATGGAAATTCATTAAGGTGTTATGAGGTGGTTGGAATATTTCTAAAAGCAGCGAACAAATTATACTCCCTGCCCATATGGTATGAGGAGAAATAGCAAATTAGAATTTACATTTGTGTGCATTACTTTTGACATGTTAGGACTAACTTAGGAGGACATGACACTGTACACAGTGTTGACTTGGACAGAGTGTTAACTCATCCACACTTTCATGAAGGGATTGGTACAAGCATCACACACCAAGAGGCATTTGGGGACTTGTCTCCTCGACTTGATCTCATGCAAAAAATTCAAAAGAATGAAGTCTTTATTGGCGTTAGTCTAATTGCTGTTTGGAGTAAAGTCCACTCCATATGCCAAATATTTCTGAAAGCCTATCACAATATTCTTCAACTTGTAGAACTGCTTTGCTTGGTCCTGCCGACTTACAGCTTCTAATGCTCCATGGCAGGTCTTCAGCTAATATTTCTTTAGCACAACAGTGAAACCTGACAAAACGCCATCCTTGGTGATCAGGCCCAAAAAGCTGTGCTTCCTTTGCTGAAAATTACAAGCGATTGACTCTGAGTTGAGGAATGGATCTGGCCCCTTGCAGACATATTGATTGATTGCTTATGCGAGAAGAGCTGAAAATGAGTCCACACTTGACAGAAGTGACCCAATAGCTGCCTCTGGTCAGACCCCCCCTGTGCTCCAATAGCTGCCTCTGGTCAGACACCCCCCTGTGATCCCACACCAAGGCACACATCTCAGTTTTTGTAATGTCAGTGCTCAACCAGTGAAAGAAACTTCAACCATGACAGCTGCAACTCAGGGCAGCTTGTTTTCTCATTAGCAGCATCAAGCTCTTCAGTAATAAGGGCAATGCCTCGTGGAAAATTCCTACTCAGCATTCTGGGAAAGTTCTACGTTAGCACTGCTGGAAAATCCCACTTGGGCTATCTGGGTCAACTCTGCAGCGACAAAAACATCTGCAGAACGACAACTCTTTGAGAACTGTTAACAGGTTTAATTCAGCCAACATGCTCATAGTATGGAAGGTTTTGTTGTATGACAGACATGTTACATCCACCACTCCTGCGTCCCCAGCCAACCCTGTTGCTGCTTCTAGAGCATCTTCTGCCCTGTCATCTTCAGTAAATTCCCCGTGTGCAGTTGAGTAAACAACCTTAAAGTATCAATCGGACCTTGCTTTCAAGACTCCTCATCCAGGAGACACGACCCTCCACTGTAATCATCACATGGTAGTGTTACCATTTCCACCGTCAGCACTGACGCAGTTTACTGACAAATCACTGACATAGATATAACAGCAAACCTCAGCTCCTTATTGCAACTGACAGAACAAAATAGACTACTTAAGTGCAGTCATTGATAGCTGAAAGATTCCATTTTACTTTGCTTTACTGTCAAAAGCTCTCCTACACAAATCATCGATGGGTGAAAACTTTGGTCTGGTGTTGTTGACACAGTAAACACAGGAGATCAATTCTACTCGGTATCTCGAACAGCGGCCATGCCTATGAGTGTTGTAGATCTCATAGACATTCCCTCCTGGGTCTGTACCAGCACTAAATAACTCTGACCTTACACTTGAGATGTATTCTCATTATGCTGTGTTATATATCCCCTGAGTCATTGATTTTCTTATCTTCAGACATTCCACCACTACCACCACAGTAAACTATTGGGGATCTATTCCCATCACTGTTATATCATACATATATATCATGTACCTCATACAATCCTCCTAGCTGGATTAGCAGATCAACAAGGTCTATGTAACAGCAAGTCAGCTATAATAAATCTGCCATTCATCCCAGCACTGTAAAAGTGCTAAAGAAGTAAGTGCTCTATTATTCAGCTCCATGTGTACTTGCTCTATTGGTATTTGTACACGTCACAAGAGAGATGCCAGTCATGACTTCTTCTGCTATTGAAGATACTGCTGAGCTATTTTAAAGGTTCATGACAAACTACCGTATTCGATGTAATAAGCGCCCCGCTCTAATAAGCGCCCACAGCGATATTTGCTAATATACTGGCCAGTGAACAATCCCAATTACTGAATTAGCACCCTTTCCGATTGATCAATGTACACAAGACTTATTTAAACGTGTATAATACGCACTCGTTTGTTATATGCACCCTTAATTATGGGCAATTAAATTCTCGAAAATATATCTATCGTGTATACACACGGATTCTTCTTTTACATCATTTCAGGCTGTCAGCATAAACCGCAAAATTTACCATCCTTCAACCTCGTTTTTAATCTCACCAAAATTATATTCTAATACGAGCCCCCTATTTCTAATTTTGAGAGAGCCCTGGGCGCTTATCATGCTTATTACGTCAAATACGATACATATGATCTCTTAATCAACATGAATATTAAAGTGGTGTTTGATGTACATGCATCATATAGTGATGTTTTACATTTTTGAAGACAAGCATCTCTCAATGAATTAAGCTAGATAAAACAAAAACAACTACAGCTGAAAAGTCATTTTGTTACAGATTTACTATCATTTAGTCATTTGAAGTGAAGAACAATACCCCGAAAGCATGACAAGCACATGAAAGAACATTCTGACATTGACATTCATCCTATCATTCAGAATAGTTTCTAATACCTTTTGATACACAGTGACTAATCATTAGCCTGGAACGGTCTTGTCCAGAAAGCCTTTGTTGGAGACATCTTCATGTATACCTTCACCATTACCTCTCACCAAAGATTGGCTAATCTGGAATTGGGGTAATCTGGATGATTTCACTGGGTACTGTGCCGTCCAGTGGAATGGGTTCTACTGTACATTCTACATCCATGCATGAGAACAGGAACTCTTCAAAAGCATGCTGCAGAAATTCTGTTACATGAATTGACTCTAGTTTCTTTAACCATAGATTACCCATGATAACAGATTATTAATCATGTTAAATTAATGATTATCTGATTGCACATGTACAGTGAGTGAGAGTGATATCGTCATATCCAACTAGTCCGCAGATAATTTTGGTCTTGTAGTTTATGTTAGAACACTATATTTTGGTAGTAAACAACTAGTCACTCTGGATTGTCACTGACTTCAGACTAATGGACTAGCGGCCATATCTGTTTCCTCTCTAGACCAGTGATCTCATGGAGTGAGTGGGTGAGTTGGGTTTAACGCCGCTTTTAACATTATTCCAGTTATATCATAGCGTGTCAGCTTAATGTGTGAGGAAAGCCCGAAGTGATGCAGGTCTCAGACGTTTACCACTTTGGTGAAACCCATGAGCACGGGTACGGTGCTGACAAACTGAGAAACATAATCGGGCGACCCAGGATTCGACCCCACAATCATAGGTTTCTTGCGCGCCCAAGGGATGTATATCTGCACAGCGAATCGTGGCGCCTTAGAGGACTGCCCCCCCACCGTGCCCCCTCATCTCATGGAATAGTTACTAGGAATGTTTATGGTTATCAGTATCTTATTTTGCATTTTTAATCTTATTTCTTTCATATTTATGTCATGAAAATGAAGAGATGATTTGATTATCAGGATTTTATGTGCATATTTTGAGGTTGTATTTTCACATTTTGTCTTTATGCAGTATTATGTTATAATTGTGTCAAGTTCTCAAAAGACACCACAGCGATGTGACTCTTCAATTATGCCACGACCTGTTCTTCATTATTCCTAACATGAACATTTAATCATGACAGCTGTTCCCAATGGCCTCTTAATAAGTCAATAAAACACTGACCTTGATATTAACACCTGAACAGCCATTACAAATGCTAATTTGCTTCCATTAAGCTATTATCCTTAATTGATGAAAATCTGTTGACAGTGTTATCACTGACACCAACACTGACATCATAACAGATCTATTTCACAGCAACAGAAAAATCCTTCGTACATAACACACGCTTCCCAAGAGATAGATGATGAGGTAGTGGTAAAAACAATTTTAGCTTTTTCAACTAAACTGCTTGCATCATAACTTCTTTTCTGCATCCTTTGTTTGATAATCAGATTCACAGTAGACCAAATTGGCTAAGTTCAGTTAATTGTGTGACTTCACATTGACATATGACAGCTGAATACACTTATTTATACAAATGCACTTACCTCTTTTATCTCTTTGAGATAACTGTCTTTGTAGCTTGCTTTGCTCTTGCTGCAGTTCTTGAGAAAGTGTTGTAAATTTCTTCAAGAGCTGCTGAAGTTCCGAGCTGCTGCTTGCTGGTAGATGAGGGATAGAATACACAGGTCCATCATCATCACTTATTGCTCCTGCGTAAGTTTCATAATCCGAGGCAAATCCTCGAGAGTCTACTGGACGAGGGTGTGTGTACAAAATTTCAGAGTCAGAGTTATAACATTCTGGAGATCTGCTTCGTAGCAATCTTCCATATCTAGATTTGGAATGTAACAAATCCCTCAATCTCTCCTGAGATCTTCTGTCCTCATGAAAGCCCCTATATGACACATTCACATAATCCCTATAAGACTGAGCATATGGGGATTCACTACTATATATTCCTGTACTGTCATCTGACAAACTAGATCTCCCTGGGGGCATATGAGGAGAAATAGGTGCTGTTTTGGATGGCGACTTTGGTGGTTGTCTCCTTCCAAATCCATCTGGAATGAGATACTTTAGATATTCCCTATCTCCTGAAAACCCATGCTGTCCCAGCATTGTTGAAGATGGACTGAGATATGAACCTGGACTTTCCAACATACCCTCCCCTTCCACAACTCCTCCTGAAGCGCCCCCTACAAACAGTCTATCCCTGGTTCCCGAGTCACCACTCCCATGACTCCGAGGCAGGGAACCATCACTTGAATTACCACTATCCATTGATTCATCAGGTAACAACCTGGCCTCAGCTCTTTGAGGAGAAATAAAAATACTGGCATAGCGAGATGAGGTAGGCTTCTCAGGTAAGGGTTCTCTTTTGGTAGCAAAGTCTGCTGAGTAAAATGGATGCTGAGCATAAGATTCAAAGGCATCTGGGCACTTTTCTGTCATCTCTAACTGTGACGCTGAAGATGACCTTCCCTTTTTAAGAACAACAATGGGAAGTTCCTCATCCTTTTCTGTAAGTGCTAGAGATGGACAGGATTTGTTCTTATTGCAATTCCTTCGAGTCCTGATTGTAAGCACTAACTTCTTAGGAATTGACATTAATATAACCACATCGTCGAGAGACATTTTGCCCACTTTCACATTATTAACAGTTAAAATCTCATCTCCTACATGGAGAAGACCATTACTTTCAGCGACTGTTCCCATCTGAATTCTAGAAATGAAAACACCATCCTGTCTGTCAAACCCATTTCCCTCTCTTATGTAGAAGCCTAGTGTCTGACCAGGTCTCTTTATAATCTCCACTGTCTGAACCACAAAAGAATCGTCAAGAACCTCCATACTTTTTATTCCCATTTCAAACGCTCCATTGGAAGTTTTGGATTTAGCACCATGGTTAGAATCAGTAGTTTTTGGTGTAGTATCTCCCTTACTTGCGTCAGTGCTGGCGGTACCTACATGCCGCGAGTGAGTGGTTCCGTGTGAAGTCTTGTTGTCTTCACCGCTGTGTCGGCTGCTACTCGCCGGCTCTGGTCCACCTTGCGTCAATCGCTCATGTCGTTTTTCTTCGGCTAGTCCTTTTTCTCGTGGTGATTTATACCTGTCAGGACTCTGTGCCATCGACTCCTCTTCCTCCTAAAAACAAGCGGAGAAGAAAATGAGCATGACAGAGCCCACAGAATATCCTGAATTAATTTTACATTGCTACCTCAATCAATATTCCGCCATTGCTGTCAGGTCAAGGGTCAAATACTACCTTCCGGACTCGATCACAAAAGAGTATTGCCAGGGAGGTAACTCTCATGTCCCCTGCGACAGGTGCTCTTTCTCTTACAGGTGGACAAATAGCATTCGTACATACCGATGGATATTTGTAGCTAATGCTGGACCTGATGTGGGTCATTTCGTACATAGACGCTGATCTTATATGTCTCAGACCAGTGATTACCTTCATTTTATCGACAATACCTCAGTTTCACTCATGGACACTACCTATGACAGCTGTTGATCCTAGGCCGACTTGAGAGAGAGTTCACATAGAAATATGATTGACATTTTAACTGCAAATTGTAGTCTATTATAGTCAAGACACACACGAAACGTGTTTTTCATCATGTTTAGAGCCCTCCCCAGAAAATGCATTCACGTGTCAACGCCTTGATTAATTCCATAATAAGTGACTTGTATCTTCTACTTATATACAGCAGGTTGGAAAGTCGTTCAGTTTTGTCCAATGGCTATGAATTATCATACACAGTGCACACCCATTTTGTCTCACCTTAAAAGCATGCGACTTATACATTACATACTGGCGCCGCAGTGTTATTATAACCAAGTAATGTAGTCTCAAACTAATCAAATTATTGTTATACTCACGTCTAAGGGAAAGAAATAGAACATAGAGACACTGGAGCCCCGCACGCATGCACGCGCACACACACATACATACCTTGATTTGGATGATATTAGGAAATCAGTGATGATCATAGTTAATGCCTGCGAGTAAATGTCAGTCGTCCCTCATTGACAGATGTCGTGGTGTAATTTATTGAACAGGTGAGTCAAGAATCTGGGCTGAGTATTAAACAAGTGAAGACTCGACAATTGCAAGGCCAAAGTGACCACATTGAGAAAGCCACCATGCATCACAACTGTTGAGCTATTCAGCTATACACTCACAGTTTACGCACCTATCACTCAATAACTATGATTTAATACATTTGTATACCTGATGGTCCACGGTTATTTTTATTGGGCGTTTTTTTCATATTTCGGAAATGGGGGCATTATTTCTGTGAAGGGCGCTGAAGGTCAATTTCTTAACGACATATAATAATGTTTCGGCAAATATTCATGGGAGGTTCGCCAATCAAATTGTCATCGAGTAAAATTTGTCTGCCTTGGGCGAATTGTCAGTCTCCCATTATCACTCTGGAGGTTACCGTTGGTTGCCTAGGAGACAAAGGGGATCAATCGAAAATTTCGGTGCGGTTTGGTCACTTCCGTTTTGTGTCGTATGGCATCTCGGCTCAGTCACCAATTTTCACAAGCCGCTGGCATATACAAAACTGCTACGAACTTTCGATATTGATTAAATCACAAAGTTCATTGATATAGTACACTCTGCTCCCATTGGAATTTCTATTTTCAGCTTACTTTTCCAATCATATGCCTAAGTAACATATCTTCTAGGAAAGACGTTTAGGTCAATCAAAATATCAAATGTAAAGTAGACTCACGTATACAAACGTCTGGGCATCGCCACGTCAAGACTATGTTTAGAAGTCTAGTTGTTAAATCAGGATAGGAACAATACACTAATCCAGTTTCCAGGTAGACGTGACAACTGTACAGAAACATCCTATAGAATATATGCTCTCATTTCCGCAGGTTTTGCTACAGAAATAACACTGTCCTGGCCCCTGAGATGCTGCACTGAGACCAGAGTCTGGCGCGCGTCTAATGTGACTTCAACCTATTGTTAGGGCGAGAACACTGTAAACTTACCCAGGGAGTAGGAGAGAGGGCAAGTCCCAGGGGGACCCTACACCGGTCGCTATAACATAGTGTATGTGCTCTATGTCCAGAACATCACACATGGATAGTGTACACTGTTACCTATACCTCCCTTGAGCTTAACTAGCCAGTAGACATGAAAGGAGTGTATTGATCTTCTATAAGACACACACATTTAGGCAAGCAACTCATCTATAATGGACTGGGGATCCTGGCGTCTAGAGGGGGGATTCTTCAGGTGGACGATGGAGACGGTTCCAACAACCACCGACCGCCATAATGGCTTTGTTCCAAACAACAGTTTTGTTATACAATGGGGATTTAAATTTGCTTTCCTTTCTATGTCCCAATGCCGCTTCCAGATTGATCGTGCAAGATACGAGGCCAGGAACTAGAAATAGGAAAATCGTTAAACCTCCAAGCGTACAATACAAACCGGGCCTTCGTTGCTCTGTCCTTGAACAGAAGCCAGTTCACGAAGTCCGGCGATAATGAGTGCTTCACAGCCTTATTGCTGTGGGAATGGGTGTCACGATTTTCTGAATAAGTCAATAGTGTAGAAGCATATTTACTTGATCTGCTGACTCCGTAATTTGTGTAGATGTTTGTTGACAAATGCTGATGTATGTAGTAATGTTTCGACCAGGGAATACACAACATACAGCATTAACATTATTTGTATGTAAAGGCTATAGGCCGGGTATGGTTGAGTGAATGAATAGCTGAAGTTAAACGTTACTTTACCACTGTAATACCAACACGGGCCAAAGAATGACCCTTGCACATTTCGCCAATGCATGGTATATGGATCTCGGTGAACTCGGGAGTGGGTGTTGACACTTTGCTTGTCTCGAACAAACAGTTCGGGTTATGAAAAAGGTTTTAACAAAAATATGTTTTAATGATCAAGTGATCGTGTTATTAATAATGATATCCAACACAACTTTACATAAAAACCGTACAGTTCAGAGATTAATAAGCTGCATTATTATGAGTGAGTGAGTAAGTATGATTTTACGCCGCTATTAATATTCCAGCAATATCACGGCTGGGGATAACAGAAATGGGTTTCACACATTGTACCCATGTGGGGAATCGAACCCGGGCCTTCAGCTTGACGAGCGAACGCTTTAACCACTAGGCTACCCGACTGCCCCGCATTATTAAGAGGATATGTCTTCATTTTTTATGGTTCAAACATATGACATATTTTTGCAATCAATACATGATAAAAGGCAATGTTTGATATACTCTGTGTATATGTCCTGCCTTCTTATACGGCGCAAATTACCATTAAAACCAACAAATCCATTTAGAGCACCTCTCTTGAAGTGTATGTCCCGGATAATTCATTAGTTGGAGGTGCTAATCCAGTAATCCCAGAATGCATCACGGCAACAAGAGAGCGACTCAACACAGCACTTTGAATATGTTCCGGCACGCTACTAACCTGACCGCAGCCACTGACGACATACTAGTCACTCTCGGGGAACAGCTTCGTGAGGGTAGAACTACTTGCTATCAATCGATAAGGACGAAGCGTAAGGTTCCACATCTGCTAGATCTAATCACACGTGTATGCACGTGCCCAGCTGGTCATTCCGATACACCGTGTAGCACGTGGGTCTAAGATTTATTGATAGGGCTATTACTTCAAAAAGCTTTCTATTCAAGAAAACATGAGCATACACATTGTTAAAGGTCATGCGGAAGGTCGTTCAACCATCGAGACATTCTAAGTACACCCATTAAGAGGGCTCATAGCACGTTCAATCAATGCAGTCTTCATTTAGTCTTTACAAGTGTCTACAACGACTTATGTTATCAAGATGAAGAGTTCAAATATCATATCATAATAATTTATGCTGGACCAGTTTAGCGGATGTTGCAGGAACATGGTTAATGAAGCCGACACGACTGTCGTTGACCCCAGTATGGGCTAGGTGTGACGTAGCTGGTCTGGCTATATACTGGGTGTTTAGACCGAGAGTAAGTACAGGATGAAACACATTAGCTATAATAACACTCCAGCCCAAGTTTACGGGTAATATTTACATTGACGCCTCTTCAAACTAGTTGTATAAAGTATGCCACGAAGAGCACCACTGCCCTGCAGGCAATCAGTCTATGATCTCCACGGCTTTGTGCGGCCCAGACAAACTGTAACTCATGCACAGGCTTTTTGTGTCAAAGATAACCAAAACTGAGACAAACTATCCATCATCCGCTTAGCCCGCCTATACAGCTCATCAGTCCAATGACGCAGGAGCTATGTCTTGCTACGTTAGATAAGCATCTGCTCTGGCAGAGCTGAGCCGGAGCTTTCTCTTCACCCCCATAAGCACAGTCGCCATTAAAGTGGAGTTTCTACGTCCCCAGCTGTGAACCATGCTCTCAACCTATGTTGTTCTTGTTACCATTGCCTCCTCGGGTGGCTCTACTGCGACAACGCATGTTACTCTTACTGCGTCTGTTACTCTTACTGCGTCTGTTACTCTTACTAATTATGTTACTCCTACTACGTATGTTACTCTTACTGCGTCTGTTACTCTTACTGCGTCTGTTACTCTTACTGCGTCTGTTACTCTTACTGCGTCTGTTACTCTTACTGCGAATGTTACTCTTACTAATTATGTTACTCCTACTACGTATGTTACTCTTACTGAGTACTACTACTACTACAACTACTACTACTACTACTACAACTACTACTACTACTACTACTACTACAACTACTACTACTACTACTACTACTACAGCAGATCTTACAAGTAGCTACTACTGCATATGTTACTACCGCTGCGTATGTTACTACTACTTCACAGGTTACAACCACCTGAATTGGGTACTACGGCACGGCACATGTTACTACTACTGCGTACGTAACTTCTACGTCTACATTTGTTGCTACTACTGTGTTTATGCAGGGTATGAAACTCCCAAAAATTTCAGCCAGACCACAGGACTGGTTAGCTGAAATACTTGCCAGCCCTGACCAAAACCTGCCTGCCCACTATAATCATATGTTTCTCAGGATAAGCTAACAGGGTTTCTTTTTGGTTACATTTTATCATTCATCTTTACATGTGAATTAATGCTTGTCATCGGGGAAATATTTA